AAGGCAGACGCTTAACGACTGAGCCACCCAAGCGCCCCGGTAGCGCAGATATTTTAATGAAAATCTTTTTATACCTCTCGTAAAATCCTTGAAAAAAAATTAGCACCAAGCTTTTGATACCTTTTTGATAGTTAGGTATCCTCACTAAAAAAAAAATTCAGCCAAACAAAGAACGAAGATTCTGGAGCCCAGCGTCCTGCGTTCAAATCTCTATTCCACACTTACTGGCTGTGTCACATCAAGCAGATTGTTTAACCTCTCTGTGTCTCAGTTTACTCAGCTTCAAAATGAGGGCAAAAAATGCTACCCACCTCTTAGAGGTATTGTGATAATTAAATGAGTTAAAACAGGTAAGTTACTTAGAAACTGCACTCAGCATAGAGGAAGCGCTCAGTAAGTCTCTGCCAACATAACTTCAGCAGCAGCACCATCATCATTATCATTTTCCCCCATGGCACCAACGCTGGGTACTGACCTCCTGTAACATATCAGAATCTTCAATGGCTTTGACAGCAGATTTTTTGGACGTTTCCTGAATTTCTCCACCCATTATAAACTCGTCAAGGATAAAATAAGCCTTTTCGAAATTAAAGATAATATCCAGCTCACAGACCTGGTAGACAAAAACAAATGTTTTGGTAAACTTGCAGGAATATCAGGGCAAACAAATGTCAGCGTCTCAAGCTTTCTCAACAGTTACACCCATGTGGCATACCAAAGATAAAACCATCAGATGGTAGCGTAAGGACCGAGAAACAGAACGAGGGGATCCCAGGCCTTTAGCAAAAGTAAAACCACATTCCATTAAGCAGGCCATGTCCCTAAATAATATTTCTTTATGTCACAACAAGAAATTTGAGACTTGGGACAGGAATCAGGCAGCACGAGCTCATATTTCCATCTGCACGAATAGAAGCCAAGTCCCCACTGCAAGTCAGGCAGAGGACAACACCTCCTTCCTCCTACTCGACCGGCTGGAAATCTTGGCTCCTAGCTTTAGGACTCTCAGAAGCTCACTCTTCAGAGGCAAATTAGCTCAACTGTGCTAATTTTTCTCAAAATTATGTCACAAGCCAGTGGTTCTCAAACTTCAGAGTGTATCCGAATCCCCCAGAAGGCTCCTTAAGGGACACAGTGCTTGGGCCCCAGCCCTGGAGTTTCCGATTCGGTGGGTCTGGGTAAGGTCTGAGAGTCTGCACTTGTAACTGGTTCCCAGGTGATGCTAATGAGGCGGGTCTGGGGACCACACAGGGAGAACGACTATCATAGACCAAAACAGAGTCCGATAGATTTTGCTGTGTAAGGGAAGCAAGCGACAAGAGCACCCCCCTCCCCCAATCATCCAGATAGGGCTTGTTTCCAATTCCCTGACTGGACCAGCACTCAGGCACTCTCCTGAGGTTTTCCTTCTCACTTATTCCTCAACTCCCCAACACTTCTGTTTCCGGTTCCACACCCTCTGGAAGGCTTCCACCTGCAAGTTTTTAGCCCTCCCCCTCCTTCACTTCTCAGCAACACTGGATACCCTTCACCAGTCTTTTTCCTGAAAATCCCCTCTCCCCTGCTCCCTGACTTTGGCAACGCCATTCAATGCCTGTTCCTGTCTTCCATCTCTGCTGAATCCTGAATCCTTCTCAGACTCGTTGGATGATCTCTACCCCTACTTCACATTTGGTTAGGAAGTATTTATGGAGTTCTCGGGACAGAATCAGCAAAGCCAGCCTCACGGCTGCATGTGTCTTACATTCCAGTGACCCACCTTCTGCTTTAATGCTGGTGTTTTTCATGAAAGCCTCTACTCTTTGCCCTACGTATATTCTAGACAATGCCAAGGACGCTCTACAGCTGTGTCTGGCATGCAGGTGTCTTAACAAACCCAGATGTCTAGCCCTGATCTCCTTCTGGGGCGAGTCCAATATTTCCACCTGCTCATTAGACCTCTCTGCCTGGATATTCCTCAGGCCAAGTCACCAGGTGCCAAACTGAGGTTAAGCGTATTCTTTTCCCCGCAGACCCTGTTTTCCTTCATAGCTGCAACCTCTATCTGTGGCTCAATCTAATTCATCCCACAGATCCACTTCTTTCCCCCTCCCCCTCATCCCTCTCTCTCCTTCAGTCTCATCCCTCTCAGTCTGGTCTCCAATTCCTATTGATTCTATCATGGAAATAAATCCCAGCCCTTCCTGTCTTCTCCCCGTTCACCACCGCTGCTCCGGCCTGCAGCGTCTCATGAAGGCCACTGCAATGACCTTCTAGGCGGTGTCCGTCCGCACTCAAGGCCAACAACCATTAACACTGTGCTGAAGCACCGATCTCTTTCCTCTCCTGAGCAGGGTCTTATGTTAAGGACAAAGATTCCATTCCTCTGCCTGGCATATAGGACTCCTGACCACCCAGCCTGGGCGGGCTATCTGCTGCCCATGTCAGCACTCAGCCACCCCATGCTACACCCACACTCCACTAACTCACCGGGTTCTCTTATGCCTTTACCCTTTGCCCATTCCAGCAATTCCTGCAATGACCCCCAGTTGGCCTTTTCTTTATTCTGCTGGCAAAATTAAGCTCATTTTTCAAGGCCAGATTCAAAAGTCAGGGGCACAATGATTCCACCGAAGCCTTTTTCCCCCATTCGGATTTCACACCGCTTGCTCTGTGTTCTCTCTTTCTGTGTATGCTGACTGATCAATCTCTGCCCCCCCAGTACTGTGAGCTCAGGCACAGACCTTATCTTATCAGTCATCTCGCTATCTCTGGTATCTAGCACATAACAGGACGCAGTACACATCTGCAGGAGAAATGAGTCAGTCATCACTTAGGCCTTGTTTCTATGATGCTGGGAATTAATGGCTTCCCAGACCAACAGTTCTCTGATGCTGCTGAGTACTATAACTTTACATAAAACCCATGTCAACATTTTAGCAAAGGGTTTAGGTCATACATTTACCATTTAGGTCAATAAGCTTGCAGACTCCACAAGGTAAACGGTTAGGTAAATACCGCTATCATAAATGGCCAGCTCAGAAAAACTCACCTAATTCATCTGCAAAGGTCATGGTCTCCTCATTCATTAGAAAGCAGCATCAAGTGGGTAAATCAACAACAAGTGGGTGTATATATCTAGAGCTACTTCCCTCCTCCCTCAACAGTCTATCTCTGCCTGACATGGAAATTCCATGTAGAAGTTGGAAAGAATGAGATAGATTTCTATGGATGGCTGTGGAAAGAACTCCAAGATACATCTGTAAGTGGGGGGAGGGGGGGAGAAAAAGTTGCAGAATAATATGCATAATGTCATAATATGCATAATCCCATTTAAAAATAAAACTGTATATGTCTAGAAGGATATGTAAAAAAATACACAATTTTAAATAATACAGATAAACAGAAAGAAAACACAATAGATCAGGCATCCATGCTCATTAGAGAAGGTACGAGAAGCAAGCAGTTACCAGAGGTCAGAAGAGGCAGGAAGTCAGTAGTTATAGTAGCAAGAGCTGAGGAACCTCAGAGTTCAAGGCAGGCGTAGACCAGGAGTCCGAGACAGACAGGAGCCTCATTAGGAGAAACCAGCAATTAGAATCCTGCAAGATGAACCTGACAGATACTAATGCAAGTTCTCTAGTTCTCTAGGACCATCTCAAACCCCACTCTCAGAGAGGCAACCTGCAGGCTGGCCAGCAGCCATGGGGCAATTAATTTACTGCATCTAGTTTCAAGAGATGGGAATAAAGCAACATGGCATGCAAAGCCAGATACACACACACACACATACACACATACACACACACATACACACACAGAGGCAGCTTGGATATACAATTACTATCTCTAGATCATAAGGAAACAGATGCACAAGTTCCATTGAAATTATAGAGAGTTACAAATGAGCAACTATTTCATATATGGCAACTCCAAAATGCTACTTCTTTGGTTATTCTTTGATCCTAACCCCAAGGGGTTACTGTATCTGTGAGTAAGAACTGGGAATATCTCCCAGAGCGCCTTAGACCAAATGCAGAGCAGTTACTCAAATACTTGTGAGTCCACCTCAAGGGTACTGTCCTGGTACATCAGGAATATGCCCTTGATGCTCAAATGACTGCATTTCATCTAATTATGCAAAAACAAGTGGTTTCCATGTTTATAAATACATGAGACTGTTGATTTCTTTTCTCATTTCTTGTGTATCTCTATTCTGGAAGAAAGCTTATAAGAGGCAGAAACAGTGATAATTTAACTTTACCCTTGATCTCTTAGCCTATGCTTTACTATAATCTGACCTGAGGGTCTACTCTTGTAGCAGAATACATGATGCAGAAGATTATTTCTGGCATTTCAATAACTAAATACTTCTGGATAGAGTCTAAGAACCTTCTCTTACTAAATTCTGTTCTAAAGTAAATACAAAAAGTTTAAATTATATACAGTAAATGTATAAAACCATACATACAATAATTACGGTTTAAGGTACAATGACATAGCAATTGACAGTTTGTAAAGTATTGTTAATTACACTGTCGCTTCGATCCTCACAACAGCCCCATGAGATCAGCAAAGTAAATATTTCTTTTAATCTTTTTGAGTGTTATTTTTCTTATATGTAAATTAGAGATCTATCCCGAGCCAAAATCATGAGTCTGGTTAGTGAGTGAGTGGACACCAGGACCCAGCAGGACTCAGAGCCCTCCTCTTCCTCCCAGAAAACTTCCTAAATCAAGATCAAACCTCTCTGGGGCAGCAACACCCATACTCTCTGAGCACATCTGTAAAAACTCACACTATAGTCTATAATGGGAAAATATGCAGGTGGCTAAATCCTCAGACAGACCTTTATCAACTGGGAGATTCTGGGGCATTTCTTCTTAGCCTCCATAAATTGGGGTTAATGCTGTTTACTGAAGATCAAAAGATTAACCAGTTAATCCTTGTAAATCTCCCTGGAATTGAAAAATGCTCAAAAAACACATAAATTAGTAGCCAGAGATTTTGATTTATCTGTCACAGGAAAGTAATATTTTCCAATGTTATAAGAGAAGCTCGGTACAAAGTTTTCTCTTCGATAATATTAAGGGCAGAATTCCAGGAGACCTTCAGGATTAACACAAGAGGAAAAGAAAGCCAAAGAGAAATATATTATTCCTGAGATGATGTCAATGAGAATCAGTACTGGTAGGCTTTGCTCATCACAGTTAATTAATAAGAACTGAACACCTACTGGGCAGATAGCCTTGAATTGCTCTTAGCTGCTCTTAGCTTAATAAAAGATTCATTGAATTTTTTAGTGAATTAAATTTTGGTCCATGGGAAAGACAGAGCTTCTAAAGGTACACCAAAATAGGATGAAAAATTAATGTTAGAGAAATAGGAATTCATTCTGATTCTCTTTATATCTTAACTGGGCTCAGCTTTGGTGAAGGTGATTTAGATTCTCTTAAGAAAGCAATGTGTTCTCAAATATCTAATATTTGGTCAGATAAGACTGACATAAAAATTTGACCTCCATTCACATTATCACAGTCAGGGAAATCTAGGAAAACACAACAGGTCAAACCCGAGTGCAGAAATTAGGGGCAGAAGGCAGGTCCTGGGAAAGCCTGGGCCTCAGGAAAACACCTTCAGGCCTTTCTTTACAAAAGGCCAAGTTTGCAGTGGATTTCAAAATGTCAGGCTTCCTTTGAATAATGGAAAGCATAAAATTAAATAATCTCACGTTCAAAAACATGCAATTATACACCTGCGAATCTCTCTCTAAAAGATGAAAATAAACATGGGGAGCTAAGAGAAAGAGAAAGAAAAAATGGTCTGGCTGTCTTACTCTCTATACTGACCAACGACCTAAAATCTCCGAAGCGACATTTAAAGTCATCTTCTAACATCATTTATGAAGGGAAATAAAGGGGAATAATAAGGATGAAGGGAGGGAGGGAAAGAAAATTCTTTCAAAAACCTTTCAAGTACTCACCCTTGTGAAAATTGTTGCAAGTAATCTGATAAAACCCTGGCGATGCTGCAAATGTTACTCATTCCATTGACCAGAGCACAGAAAGTCTTGTGGAAGCAAACTGTCCCAACAACACTTAATAGAAATCCTCAGTGACCCAGGGAACAGGGAAGGGAGCATTACTGAGAGAAAATATATTCCAAATCCAATGATTTATTTCTTAAGACCATGAAATGGATGGCATGTTTCTGGAACATTTGCTAAAATCTGGCCCAGAGTTGCTCACAAGTGTTGAAAAATCAAACAACTAAATCCTAGGTCATGATCTCGAGACACCTGAAGTTTGGTGTTCATACAAATCTTGCACAAGTTAAGGATAATACCAGGCTGTCCCATGTGGTTGGAGCACTGAGCCTATCAGGGATAAAAAGAAAGAACAGCGAGAAGGTTGGAGAAGTGGTCTGGAACTGATGTTTAGAAAGCTTAAATGCCAGGCTAAGAAGTTGGGCTTTTATTCATTATAGATGATGGAAAGTGGCTGAGGACAACCGTCACCTGGATCCATGCATTGCAAGGAAGATGGTAACTAACAAGCCAGGAAAGGGAAGCAGAGAAGAGCCCAGAGACATAAAGGGCCAGAGATGAGGTTTCAAAGAAAAGCAAAACTGCAATCCAAAGTAAACCTGTACTGGTGGGAGTGGAAGGAAAGAGATGGATTGTAGTCCCATCTGAATAGACAAAGGCAGCCTTTAGCAAAGGGTGGAGGAAGAACAAAGAAAGAAGCATTGAAGGATCCTGGGACATAATAAACTCAGTCACAAGACAGAACAGGTTTGCAGATTATTTTAGTTCTTGACACGTTACAACGGAGACGCCTGAGAGAAGTCCAGAGAAGACTGTCCTAAGCAGACTTCTGGAAAGAGAGCCATCTGGTCATGGATTCCAGGAGGGTAGAAAGGGCAGGGGGAGGAAGAGAGCTCGGGGCAGAAACCAAGCAGGGGCCTTTAGAAACAGGATGAGAATTAGCAGAACTCAGGGTTGTGCCAAAAAAAGAAAGGGAAGCAGTGACGAGCAAGGATCCCGTGCTACAGAGAGGTGAGGCAGGAGAAGACTGAAGAAGCATCACTGGTGTTGACCATTAGGAAGGGGCCAGTGGTAACTTTATGATTTCCTGGGAGCCATAAAGATGGAGCCCGAGCTGTAAAAGTGAATGAGTTCGAAGGATGGGGCACCTCATACAGGATATTACTTGGCAGTAAATGCATGGAGGTTAAATAGCAATAGGAAGGAAAAGGATTTTGGTTTCCTTGTTTGTTTGGCTTTTTTTTTTTTTTTTTTCCACGTATAAATAGTATTAAAGGACACTTGGAGCTTAGTAAAAGAAGCCAGAGAGGGGATTAAAAAGTCAAAATAGAAGAGAGATGACAGATGATGAAGAATGAGGAGGAAAACATCAAGGAATCCTTCACAATTAAATTCTTGTTCACTGAATGAGCTCTCTAGGGTGGTTGTGGTCTGAAGACAGAGAGAGACACGGCCTGCCTCTGAAAGCTTTGGAACCTTTGTTTACAAAGAATCACAGGAAGGGGGAGAATGCCTCATATTCTGATCCTTGTGCAAATGCAATTCATATTTTAGACTTGAGAGAGAGAAGGAATGTGATAAAGACAGAACTGACATAGAGCTGAAACGGGGACTAATTCCAAACAGACCAGTTTGGACACTTACATTTCCAAAGTATTTGTCCAGCAACTCCACATAACGATGCACAATCTCTAGTGTCAAGAGCTCATTGTCCTGATTTTCTACAGCACAGCAAAAATATAAACTAGCATACCTTGAAAGGAAAAACACGAAGAAAGAAAAGTAAAATACGATGACACATCCAATAACCTGAAGATGGTGTTTTCTGCAGTGAACATGCGAAGCTCCCTCTTCTCCAGAGACTCTCCCCATCCAAATCCAAGAAAGAAGTCATCATTCATCACATCCAATAGCCTCCCAATATGTGAAAGAGAATATATAAAAACAGAGTGGCCATTGGGTTATTTCGGTTAATTATATGAAAGACTCTCAACACCATTTTACCCTGAGGAACTGTTATCAGGAAGACAGAGTCCTTGGCCCAGAGTAATGGGGGTGTCTGCTCATGCCCCTCCCCTGCTTGTGAACCATCCTTTCTAAACTTCAAGCCCCCGACCCAGGCTCTCACCTCACACTCCTTCTGTATGTGACCCACCCTCAGCCCATCCAGTCTATCCTCCTGCCTAAAATCCTCTTTCCCACACCCATCTGTGTGGTTAATGCCAACTCCCCGCCTTAGCTCTGAGCTTGGATGTCTTTCCTCCGGGAAATCTCTAACCTCGCAGATGGGACTGGATGCCGGGCTCTGCACACCTGTGCCTCCCCCAACAGAGCACCTAGTGCTCTTCACTGCCCATTTCATGGCTTGTCTCTGCCCCACTAGGTCACTGGCTTCCCAAAGGCAGGTGCTGAGTCTGCCTTGCTCATGTTCCCAGGCGCTGCAAATATCTGTTGAGAGAACTGCTTAAAGCCTATTCTTTATACAATGGCTTAAATCACAAATGAACTCAAAGTTTTAAAAAGCCAGCAGGCAGAGAGTAGGGACAAGCTTCTTGTTGACAAGTGCTTCCTGGGACTCTGCCTTGCCGTCCCTGGGATGCTTATTAAAAGGGGCCTTCACTGACATCTCTCCGGATGCTAGTACTAAATGCTTTAACCTTGGACCTGGCGGAAGCAGCTTTGCCCGGGCACTTCTTTTTTTTTTTTTTTATTTGAGAGAGAGAGAGAGCATGAGAGGGGGGAGGGTCAGAGGGAGAAGCAGACTCCCTGCCGAGCAGGGAGCCCGATGC